TGGAATTAATAAATAATTCATGTCATAAAGGCCTCTTGGTTCACCCATCATTTTGGCTAACAATGAAAACACAACAAAATTCTTTTAGGGGCTTCAGATTTGGCACTAACACCATGCATGAAGTGCCAAATGCCAGGATGTTGGCCTTATTAATTTTGGTACAAGACCCAATATTCCAGACAAACTTACCATATTCTAATTAATTAAAAAAACAAACAAACAAAAAAACCCAAGCAACCAATCAAACAAACAAAAATCCTCAAGAATTGACATAAACCATAACGGGCAAACCCAAGCAAATTTAATCTTATTTGATATAAGCTTCCTTCCTCCCACCCTGCCTCTCTCCCCAGCTCCAGGCAGTTCTCTTGTGTGTCTCAAGTCATGCTGGAAATAACCTAGAGAGCAAACTCTTGGCTGGGGACCCCAAATGTCTTATGGTCAATGGATATATCCCCTGAAGACTTGCCTTACATCTAAAATGGAATACCAAGGATTTTACAACTCTAGCAGTTAAAAAATCCATCCATAATAAACAAGGGGGTTATCATTCATGGCCTAGAAACGAAAATACTGAGCTCATTCTTTAAAATCCACCTTGTTAAAGCTGGTTATAAGACAATAAACAAAGGCTAATGAACAGAAGACTCACTGTGTCATGTCTAAAATTAGACTGCATGACATTTGCATTGTCACGGGTTTGTGGAATACCCAAAGGCTATTATTTTATTGTTTTAAGCATCATATGTATCTTTATCAATTTGATAATTACTAGTTCAGTATATTGCTAGTTCAATGGGTAAGTGACAGGATTATTTCTTACAGGAACAAATGATGGAGTTGGTATAAAGGGGGGTAATTAGTACAAATTGCAACACTGAAACAAAATGCAAACAGAAGGTCTTCAGAAGTTCCTGAAAGAAACAGCACAAACAGAAAAGACAGCACTACCTCCACTTGTCACTGCTCTCCCAACGGCAGTACTTGATCCTGAAACTGTCCCTCTTAGTTGTTTATTGTATCCTCACCTGTACAGCCAAAACCAGCCTCGTTGGCAATGCCCCGTGTGAGATGCAGCGAAGTGCCAGCACAGGAAAAGAGATGGGAACACAGGGCAGGGAATGGGAGGAGGGGGTGGGAGAAGTTGCGATTCATATCATCTGAAGCTGCCATGGAATAGCACCTTAAAGTGCTTAAAGTAAGGAGGCTCGTTTTGAGAGAAATGAGTTAAAGAATAATCATGTGTGTTAAAGAAGCGCAGTTCAGTCCGGGTGTCTGGTGTTAGTCACTCCACAGTTCGAACCCTTGGCTTCCTGAAGCAGAATCTCAGGCATTGAATCTCGTAAAAATAATTTAATAGAGTGGTACAGCAGCAGGATCAGCTTGAGCTGGGTGCCTCCAGGGAGGGACCCCGAACAAAGAAATTCCCAGGCAATTATACCCTTACGGACTATGCATCTGCCCCTCATGCGATCTCCACGCACCTTTCACGTGCCCTTTGGTCCAATAGTGATTTTGGCCTGAGATCTTCTGACACCTTCTGACTCCATACTGGATTCCTTCACTGTCACCAGGCAGGCTGTTATCTTGTCAAGTTGCAGTTGCTGTTGAAAGTTATACCCTCCTCATCTTCTGGTTTGTGCTGGCCCTGAAGGCCTTGTCTTGCTTGAAGAGATAGAAGTTCAGTACAAGTTCAGCAAATCTAGGTGAAAGTTTACAGCTTGCAGCTTAAGGCTTCAGCAAATCTAGCTACTCATGCTAAGTGAGGAGCATACTAAATCACACAACATTACAAGTCTAAGTGATTAATTCTATTTAAAACTTACTTATTTAAGCTGATCAACTAATATTTCTTAACAATATGAGTGGCAATCTGGGCAGGCTTGAGAAAATTGCATCCTCCCACTGGAACAGTGATGAGGAGGCAGGACTACTGGCTGAGGAAGACAGAAAGCTTCAGCTGAGCTAGAGCTGGCTAGACACAGTTCCCAACATACCCCTGGTCTTACATGCCTTATCATACCACCTGAAACTGCATATAGCAGAGTGATTCTGACCAGAAGGAGATTTAATTAAGAAACTTCAAGTTAAGGTCTGAAGAAATCCGGCCACGTAACAGAGAGGAGGGAGAAGGAACAGTGGAACAATGCCCTTATATCACTGGATGAAACCACAAACTGAAACTGAGCAGGAAATCTGACAAAAAATTAAAACAAAGATACGGGATCAAAAAAAAAATAAAATCAGTGGAGCTCTGAGACTTTGCCTTTATGCCACCAAAATACATACATTTCTTGAACCATCTGGGTAGTTCAGCTGATTTCAATCAACTAAGCATTTGTAGAATGTGTGGTTTGATCCACAGGCAGAAATATTTCACTGAGCTGGGAAATGACAAATCATAACACAGGTCTGGTATGACTCCTTTAGAAATTCATTTCTGAGCTTCCATTACCATAATGATGCTAATATACAGGAAGTAGCTCCGATGAAGAGGAATAAAAGTTGGTTGCTGGCTTAAAAATAATGATTTAGAAGATCTAGAAGCACCTGAAGCGTGCATGCACTCGTAACAGAGATCTCACGGGATACATGATGCTAAATTCAAGAATAGCGAAGTGCAGATAGGAAAGAGATCATTTCTGAAAGCTTTCTGAACAACAGGGTATTTTAGACCATGGAATAGCCTCATAAGAAACAAGCAGAGCTGCAATGTGTGGCAACTACTGAGGACAAAATAATACAATGGTACAAGGGAAGTGAGACAACAGATCCATACACATCTGTTCCTGCGCTTGATGAAAGGCAAGTTCAAATGAGAAGAGGATGGCTGCTAAACAAACATCAACTATGACAGGAACGAGCCCCTGGAACTGTAGTTCTCACTTTCTATGTGACCTTAATATTGTCGTTGCCTTACCCACTCAGTTTGGTTTCACGCATGCCCCCTCGTCCTCATGTCAGCTTTCTCTTACAGTTATAAACTCTATCACAAAATGGGAAATATATTTGCAGTTTTCCTCAAGTACAATTGATTATACCATTCCTTGAAACGCCAGAGAATTGGCTTTCCTTTCAGACCATCCACATTTTTACACAAAAGCATTTCCAGCACTGGTTTCTGCTGCCACAGCTGTTTTGTAGCCAGAAGAATAGGCTTTTCTTAAGTGTCAGTAATAAAAAGTAATAAAAGCGTGACACGTCCCAAAGCACTTGGAGCTGCTCCTAACGGAGAGCTGCGGAGGGGAGCGCAACCTTTTCCCCTAGTCCTGTCAATCACTGTGTTACACCATTAAAGGATCAGCCGGTTAAAGTAATCTTTTCTGATTATTGCCACCTTTAATGCTGGTGGGGGGATGAGCACCAAGGATGGAGAGAGCTTTAGCTCCTTAAAAGATTTTTTTATAAGGTGCTCCCGCTTTGGCTCTAAGAGGCACATCTCTCAATTTCTTTCAACTAAAATTTCACCATGTATTTTCAGCCTACCTCCATTAGAGCTAAAAAAAAAAAAAAAGACGCAAAACCCCAAACCCAGACAAACCAACCCCCAGATCGAGCTGTTTTGGCACGGAAAACCTCTTTAGCTGCACAGGAGTAGGAAACAAAAATGAAATAAAAGCCGCATTTGCGAAAACACAGCACCGCCGAAGGGATAACGGCGGCTCCTCCTGCCAATCTTAATTAACGCTCGCAAATCAAGGTGACTTTGAGGAAAAAAAAACTTTCCGGCGGGCCCGCCTCCCCCCCCCCTCACGGCCAGAGCTTCCCGCCCAACGGCCCCCCCCGCCACGGGGCGCGCACGTGCTGGAAGGAAACACCGCGCGGCGCAGGCGCGCTCCGCCCGCCCGCCTCGGGCAACGGGGCGGGTGAAGGCGGAGCCTCGCTCTCTGGGCGCCTGATTGACTGATGTCATTTCCCCAACCGCCTGCCTCGCCGGCCCATTGGCTGCTTGAGGACCGCTATCTGCATTCCGCTTTCCCGGTTGGCTGTTGCCGCCCCGGCTGTTGCCCTATCCTCATTCGGGCCAGGCGGGTTAGGTTCTCTAACCCCACCTCCTGCCTCAGCCCCTCCCACCGCCGCCGCCAGCTCCGCCTTCGACGACTTTTCCTCCCTCTCATTGGCCAATACCGCACGTCGCTC